GACTGAAGAGATGTCTCAGCAATTAAGAGCACTGGCTTCTCTTGCAGAAGACCTGGGCTCAGTTCCCAGCACCCACAGGGTGGTTGTTAACAACGGTCTATAACTCCAGTTCCAGGGGATCCGATGCTCTCTTTTGGCCTCCATGGGCATTTCATTCATGGCACACTTACATATATTCAGGCAAAACAGTCATACATTTCAAATAAATAAATGTAAAAAGAAGTTCAAAGCCAGCTTAGGTGACATAGTGGGTTTGAGGCCAGCCTGACCTACATGAGACCCCATCTCAAAAAAAGGAAAAGGGTTCCTGTCTCTCATCTACCTTCAACAGAAGGCCTCCTGGGTCTCAGCTCAGCTGAACGTGGAGCTGATCCGTCCCTAGTCACTCAGCAGATGAAGTGATCACAGTGGGGTTGGCGGGAGGGAACATGGCAAGGACAGGAAGAGGGAAGAATTCCCATGAGTCACTTGGCAGACCAAAAATAGAAGAAACTAAACAGCTCAGTGATCACCCAGCCTGCACAGCACAGGGGCAGCTAGCCCACCCACAGCCAGGGTCCTGAGGGTCATTCCCACATCCTGGTGCATAAAAATGTGCCCTTTGTACCCATCTGGGAAAATTCCCTCCTTGTTTTCTTATTATTATCAAAGAGGAAGCAAGAAAGCAAAGCAGTTCTGAAAGTTTCAAAACTGTTAATGTTTAAACAACGCCTTGGAGCGAAACCTCAGCACCCAGCAGAGGCGCTTGCTGGAACACGTGTTCATGGAGGCAGACTGGTTCTTTCTTCAGGTGTGTCGGCAAAGTAGTGCTTTGCCACATTTGTTAACAGCAGGCACACTTGGAAATCACCAGACTTAACGTTTGAAAATGACACCTTGGGAGAAATTTTTTTTCCTTTTTTGCAGAACTGGTGATTGAAACCAGAGAGGTTCTTTTTTTAATTTTTTTTAAGTACATTGTTACACTTTATTTTCATTTGTTTGTTTTGTTGTTGTTGAGACAGGGTGTCCCTGTAACCCCAACAGGCCTGGAAATTGGCATGTAGACCAGGTTGGCCTCAATCTCACAGAGATCCACCTGCCTCTGCCCCCAGGGTGCTGGAATTGAAAGTATGTGCCATCCCACCCAGCTAGATTTTTTTTTTTACTTATTTTTATTTTATGTGTATGAGTGTTTTGCTTGAAGAGGGCATTGGATCCCCTGAAACTAGAGTTATAACAGTTGTTAGCTGCCATGTGGGTGCTTGGACCTGAACCCAGGTCCTCTGCAACAGTAGTCAGTGCTTTTAACTGCTGAACCATCTCTCAGCCCCATGAACCCCGAGCTTGTACCATGCTAAGCAAGTATTCTACCACTGAGTTATATCCCAAACCCTATTTTTTGTTTGCTTTTTTGAGACAGAATCTCATGTATCACAGACTGGCCTCAAACTCCTGATGTGCTTGCCACCACCTCTCAAACGCTGGGGTGACAGGTGGGTCACCTTCCCATTTTTTTGTCCTTGTTTGTTCTGTTGAGACAAGAGTCACCCTATGTAGCCCTAGGCTAGCCTGGAACTTAGGATCTTCCTATCTCTGTCTCCTGAGTGCTGGGGTGACAGATGTGTACCACCCTGCCTGGCAAGAAAGTATGGTCTTTTTTCTTTTGAGACAGGTCTCACTATGTGGCCCTGACTGCCTGGAACTCTCTATGTAGACCAGGTGGGCCTCAGTCTCATAGAGATCACCCTGCCTCTGCCTCCCCACTGCTGGAATTAAAAGGTATGTGCCACCATGCCTGGCACCTTATTTTTTATTTTAACTTTGTTTTTCACTTATTTTTTTTACTTTTGGGGTTTTTTGTTACTTCTTTTTATATACATTTATTTATTATTTTTATTTTATGTGTATGAGTGTATTGCCTGAATGTATGTAAGTGCACCCATGTTGTGCAATGCTGAGGAGGTCAGAAGAGGGCATCGGATTCCCCTGGAACTGGAGTTGATGGTTAAGGACATTCCCATGTGGGTGCTGGGAATTGAACCCGGGTCCTCTGCAAGAGCAGTCAGTGCTCTTAACCTCTGAGCCATCTCTCCAGCCCCTTTTGTTACTTCTTAAAATTTAATTATTTTATTTTTATTTTTATGTTTATCAGTGTTTTGCGTGCATGCATGTAAGTGCACCTGTGCATGCAAAGTCCTTAGAGGCCAGAAGAGGGCATTGGATTCCCTGGAACTGGAATTATGGGCAGTTACTAGCCACCATGTGGGTGCTAGGAAGCAAACCTGGGTCCTATATAAGTGCAGCCAGAGCTCTTAACTGCTGAGCCATCTCTCTAGTTCCTACTTTTTGTTTCTTTCAGATAGGGTATTACTATGTAGTCCTGGCTAGTCTGGAATTCACTATGTAGATCAGGCTGGACTCAGAAATCCACCTGCCTCTGCCTTCCAAGTGCTGGGATTTATTGTT